CTAAATTAATTTACTCTCCGTGAAAGAAAGACTGTGTTACAAGAACGTAATAAATAACATGTAATTTTTATTTCAACAAAACAGAGTTTTCAATATAGATAATAATGCAACCCATGTATAAAAATTACAACTGAATTTATAAATTGAAATTAAAGTTAAATAAAAAATAATTTAATATATTTGGTTACGAACAATATATTACAATTGTTAAATAATAAACGCTGATGCAAATAGGCTCACAGGCCGTATGTTATTGCATTCTAAACATGGTTGGGTAAGATATATATATTAATATTTATAATTTTTAATATAAATATTACGTCATAAAACGATATTTCATTTAATGTTTTTTAAAAATAAAATTAATATTATTTTAATATATTTTTAAATACAAAATACTTACTACTATACTTTTAAATATTATTTAAGCAGCGGTGGGATGGATATGTAACCCCCAATTTTAAATGTCCAATACGGGAATCATGGATAAAAATAAAAATAAAAATTAAATTTTTTTCTATTCAGTTGATTGCATTTAATGTTAGACTACACCGATGTAGCTGAATTAATTCAGTCTCCACTGCGCGGAAGAGAGGCTGTGTTACTGGAATGTAATGAACAACATGCAATTTCTGCTTCAACAAAACAGAGTTCAACGCAGATAATGATATAACCCATGCATAAAAATTACAATTGAATTTGTAACCAGATAATATGTTACAACTATTAAATAACAAACGCTGGCACAAATAGGCTCAAAGGCTGTATGTTATTGTGTTCTAAACGTGGTTGGGTTTTTATTATTTTAATATGTGAATATTAAAAATAATTTTTAAAAAATAAAATTAATATATTTCTAAATAAAAAAAACTTACTGCTATACTTTTAAATATTATTTAAACAGCGGTGGGATGGACATGCAACCACCAATTTTAAATGTCCAATCCGGGAATCATGGGAGCACAAAGGCACCAAGGAAAGAATATGCCATGCTTTCAGCTTTTTCCTCTTCCATTGGCATTTCCTAAGCTTTCAAAACACGTAATAAAAATGTAGTTATTTTTATTCGCTTCACTTTCACCAAGAGATTGATTGCTATCTCGGAATAATTTCTCAAGAGACATCCCAGGGAAGAGAAAAATCATGTGAAATTACTAATCATTTAATTTTAAACGAAGATTCTGTAATTCCATGGTTTCGATGTAAGGGTATTTAATTTTGAACTAAACTAGAAACCAAGTCTTGAAAACACACTCTTGCATGCATCTAGCCAAAAGGCTCTAATGAATTCGTCTTGATATGGCCTCAAAGTTTGAATAAATAAAAAACTAAACTAATCATAGCATTATTTATTTAATTTATCAAGTACATGCATATATTTCATGTCATATGACAAAAGGGTTTTATTTTATGCTTGTTTGAAATATCTTTCTTTTTTATATAATAAAATTGAATCGCACTTGGGATAATTCTTTGAAGAATCTGAGTATTTCTTTTTAAATTCCACAAAGAATAGGTGCCTCACTCGACAACATGTGAGGATCAATGTTGGTCCAAAAGAAGAAAATATTTTTCAAAAATGAACTTTTCCCATTTGTGTGGGCTAGCTCCAACCCGATTTCGCTTGAAGGTGCAAATTTTCTTTTTCTTAGAGTTTTAGTGTTGGGATTTAATTTTTATATATATAAGATGCCATGAGTAGATTCGAAGCCGGGAATATTCCATTAAGAGATCGGAATCCTCCAAAGGGCTAAGCTGTCCAGGAACTTAAATTCCACGTGTGGCCACATACAGAGTCTTCAATTTTAAAGTGCATAGAGAGTCCAGTTCATGCTCTTGATTTCGGTTTGACTGCTAAAGAAAAAACCCCATTTTTTCAAGTTATTAAACTCTAATCCAACCACTAATTTCTTGATTTATTAAATTTACATTTCACTAGCCAGGTTATAAAGGTAATTTAAGTTTAAACTGAGATGAAAGTATTTAATAAATATTTTATCTGTCATATAGTTTTCTAACGTAAGGGCTGATATACGATAAATCTCGAGTTAAAGAATAGAGTGGTTAATTTTAATTATTTGATTTTTTATTTTTTTAAATAAAAATAATATTATTTTAAGTAAAAAAATCAATAAGGTATCATCAGTTCTTTCCAAGCTGGTTGGGTTATGAGTAGATTTAAATTTTTTTTTTTTACTAAGTTACATGGGATTAATTTTTTTTAAGATTAAAAAATAAAAATATTAAAGGTACACAAAACATATCTCATGTATCTTTTATTTTAAAATAATATAAATTTAATTTAAAATTATTATAAAAATAAAATTATTTTATATTTATGTTTTTTTCTCTTAAATTAAACTTATTTTTTTCTTTCATGTACTTTTTTTTGTCCCACTGAGAACAAAACTTTAAAGCTTTGACGTTGATTTTATAAATAAATAAAAAAAGATGAAAATGAAAATGAGTAATTGAATAGTTCTTTAATTTAATGGTTGATTATAAAAGAATATAGCGAACCATGTAAGAGAGTTACTGTATGGAGAAACTTAGCAGCAACTCGGATTTTTTATTTTTTATTTTTCGCCTTTAAACTCCCGAAAAAACCTCACCAGATGTATACCGGAGAGAGCACAAGATATTCTTACAAATAAAACTAATTGGATATAAATATGACATCCCTTAAAAAATTAAAATATATCTTTTTTTTTTATATAATAAAATTGAATCGCACTTGGAATAATTCTTCGAAGAATCTGAGTATTTCTTTTTAAATTCCACAAAGAATAGGTGCCTCACTCACTCGACAATATGTGAGGATCAATGTTGGTCCAAAAAAAGAAAGTATTTTTTAAAAATGAACTTTTCCCATTTGTGTGGGCTAGCTCCAACCCATTTGGATTTTGCTTAAGGTGCAAATTTTCTTTTTCTTAGAGTTTTAGTGTTGGGATTTAATTTTTTTTATGATATATATAGATAGATAAACTAGAAGATGCCATGAGTAGATTCGAAGCCGGGAATATTCCATTAAGAGATCCGAATCCTCCAAAGGGCTAAACGGTCCAGGAACTTAAATTCCACATGTGGCCACATACAGGGTCTTCAATTTTAAAGTGTATAGAGAGTCCACAGTTCATGCTCTTGATTTCGGTTTGACTGCTAAAGAAAAAACCCCGTTTTTCCAAGTTATTAAACTCTAATCCAATCACTAATTTCTTGATTTATTAAATTTACATTTCACTAGCCAGGTTGTAAAGGTAATTTAATTTAAACTGAGATGAAACGTCTTTAATAAATATTTTATCTGTCACATAGTTTTTTTAACCTGAGGGCTGATATGCAATAAATCCCGAGTCAAAGAATTAAATGATTAATTTTGTGCAAATTTTCTTTTTCTTAGAGTTTTAGTGTTGGGATTTAATTTTTTTTATGATATATATAGATAGATAAACTAGAAGATGCCATGAGTAGATTCGAAGCCGGGAATATTCCATTAAGAGATCCGAATCCTCCAAAGGGCTAAACGGTCCAGGAACTTAAATTCCACATGTGGCCACATACAGGGTCTTCAATTTTAAAGTGTATAGAGAGTCCACAGTTCATGCTCTTGATTTCGGTTTGACTGCTAAAGAAAAAACCCCGTTTTTCCAAGTTATTAAACTCTAATCCAATCACTAATTTCTTGATTTATTAAATTTACATTTCACTAGCCAGGTTATAAAGGTAATTTAAGTTTAAACTGAGATGAAAGTATTTAATAAATATTTTATCTGTCATATAGTTTTCTAACGTAAGGGCTGATATACGATAAATCTCGAGTTAAAGAATAGAGTGGTTAATTTTAATTATTTGATTTTTTATTTTTTTAAATAAAAATAATATTATTTTAAGTAAAAAAATCAATAAGGTATCATCAGTTCTTTCCAAGCTGGTTGGGTTATGAGTAGATTTAAATTTTTTTTTTTTACTAAGTTACATGGGATTAATTTTTTTTAAGATTAAAAAATAAAAATATTAAAGGTACACAAAACATATCTCATGTATCTTTTATTTTAAAATAATATAAATTTAATTTAAAATTATTATAAAAATAAAATTATTTTATATTTATGTTTTTTTCTCTTAAATTAAACTTATTTTTTTCTTTCATGTACTTTTTTTTGTCCCACTGAGAACAAAACTTTAAAGCTTTGACGTTGATTTTATAAATAAATAAAAAAAGATGAAAATGAAAATGAGTAATTGAATAGTTCTTTAATTTAATGGTTGATTATAAAAGAATATAGCGAACCATGTAAGAGAGTTACTGTATGGAGAAACTTAGCAGCAACTCGGATTTTTTATTTTTTATTTTTCGCCTTTAAACTCCCGAAAAAACCTCACCAGATGTATACCGGAGAGAGCACAAGATATTCTTACAAATAAAACTAATTGGATATAAATATGACATCCCTTAAAAAATTAAAATTAAAAATAAAGAAATATTAAAAGAAAATGATTAAAACGTATGGCATTCCATTACTTTATATTGGAAATTACCAATTTGGAATCTTTTGAAAAATCTAGATTTAGCGTTGGAAGAATCGGACCAATAAAGGATGGAGTGGACCATTACTGAAACCTCAGGGACCAACACGTACTTTACACAACTAATAAAATAAACAATTAAATCTCGTGTTTCTGGATAAAGTATAAAACCAGAGATATACCTTTTTCTAGAAAATAAATGTAAACTCAAAATCGGATATTCCAATAATAACCTTTCGAATATTCTTCTCTTTACCGTTATATCTCCCCCTCTCCTTCGCTTTCGCTCATTCTCCCACTTTCTTTCTTATTTTCTCAGCAACCAAATACTCTTCCCTCAGAATGAAATTCGGAAAAAGCTTAAGCAATTTAAGAGATCCGAATCCTCCAAAGGGCTAAACGGTCCAGGAACTTAAATTCCACATGTGGCCACATACAGGGTCTTCAATTTTAAAGTGTATAGAGAGTCCAAAGAACTCAAGAAAAGATTGAAACTCATCGAACCAACCAACAACACAAGCAAGAACAATGGAGACTCCCGGCCAATGAAAAAACCGAGATTGTCTGCCGCCTCTGCTGATGCTGGTGGTGGTGATTGTACGGACGGTGGTGGAGCAGATAGCAAGGAAGTAAGTATGACAAGGGAGGAGATTGATTTTATTAAGCTGTTAGAAGATGAGCTCGAGAAGTTTAACAGTTTATTAAATTTACATTTCACTAGCCAGGTTATAAAGGTAATTTAAGTTTAAACTGAGATGAAAGTATTTAATAAATATTTTATCTGTCATATAGTTTTCTAACGTAAGGGCTGATATACGATAAATCTCGAGTTAAAGAATAGAGTGGTTAATTTTAATTATTTGATTTTTTATTTTTTTAAATAAAAATAATATTATTTTAAGTAAAAAAATCAATAAGGTATCATCAGTTCTTTCCAAGCTGGTTGGGTTATGAGTAGATTTAAATTTTTTTTTTTTACTAAGTTACATGGGATTAATTTTTTTTAAGATTAAAAAATAAAAATATTAAAGGTACACAAAACATATCTCATGTATCTTTGAAGAAGAGTACATCATCAGATTAAAGGTAACCTTTTATTTTATTTTTTCAATTTTCTTATATGATCTGTTTGGTTCCTGAGAAAACCTTTTATTTTCCGAGCCGATTAGAGAAGATTAAAACTGTTAATGAGGAATTAGTGAACATGACAGCGTTGATAAGTGAAATTCGTTAATGAAACGGTGTCGTTTTTAGCATGGGATCTGTTTATACTGTAACGTACAGTTAAAACCGTTAGTTGCCAGCTGTGGTGGATCGACAACTGGCGCGCACCCCCTAAATGTGGAGTAGTGGTAGTCAGGGAATTGTGCTTTGGTATATTCTCTGTACCGTCTAATAAATCAACGCTACAAGTTGAAGCATATATATATATATTAGGACCCATTGGGTTTTTGCTAATGGATCGGATGGCAACATTAGTTTAAGTAGAAATATTGAAGACAGTAGTGATCATTGAATTTTACTTGAAATGAATGTAATTATTAAAGAGTTTACACTTTACATGGTGAAGCGGGTGCATCATAGAGGGGGTTCTTGATTTTGATGTGTTGTTGCTAAGAAAATATATTCCAACCAATGAATTCTTATGTTATAATTGTGATGATCAAAATTTGGAAGAATATATCAAACTCTACTTATCATGTTGGTGAAGCTCTACACTTGTAGAGCTACATGGCCTGCAAGTGCTAGGAGATATTTTAATGCATTTGTAGCTTTTGATTTGCCCCTGGAAGTAACTTAAATTGTTGTTAATCTTGTCTTCTTGTGGTGATTATAATGACGAACATTGTTTTTTCTTTTGATTACCTAATGTATAGATTTTGTGTTGGGCTAGACATTTGTTTAGGCTAGATGTTCAAGCTATGACTTTGTGTGGAGATTTTAAACAGATTCTTTAGAGAGTCATAGTTGAGGAGTTTGAGGTTGGTTTTTCAAATCTGTGGACTGTATTTATTTAGGATGGTGGGTAGAGATTCTTAAGAATAATAAACTTGGGTTCGCTTTATACTTTGTTTGATCGCTTTGAATGATCACTTAAACAAGAAAGGAATAAGATGCTAAAGTGCCTTAGGTTTTTGTGATCTGTTTTTGGACCTTATCTCAGTTAGCAAAGTAAAAATAGAATCTGCTCTTTGGCTAGGAAAATTGAAAAACTTGTGATTGTGATGCAGGAGTTGCAAGATAGTGTGGCAAAGGCAATCAATTCCAATGAAGAGATGATAAAAATTAGGAAGGAGATCGTAGATTTCCATGGAGAGATGGTCTTGCTGGAGAATTATAGTGCTCTGAACTATACAGGTACATACATGCTTCCTCTTGGCTGTTGAATTTGCTCATATCATATGGGCACAAAAATATATAAAAAATATATCATGGCTAATCTTGCTTGCTTTCAACAGGATTGGTAAAAATAATGAAGAAATATGATAAAAGAACGGGTGCTCTCATTCGTTTGCCCTTCATCCAGAGGGTTTTGCGACAGCCTTTCTTCACCACTGATTTGCTCTACAAGCTTGTTAAGGAATGCGAGGCAATGCTAGACCGCCTTTTCCCATTGAGAGAACCACCATCTTCTTTTGAAGCAGCCGACGGGGATGACTCATGTGATCCTTCAACCTCTTCGACTACCAAAAATGATAGCACAATCAGTTTCCCCAAGGAACTTGCAGAGATTGAACTTATGGAGAGTTCATATATGAAGAGCACAATATCAGCATTGCGGGTTCTGAAGGAAATTCGAAGCAAAAGTTCCACTGTTAGTGTTTTTTCATTGCCACCACTTCAAATGAGTGGTTTGGAAGATACTTGGAAAAAGGTTCCTATACTGGAACAAGAAGCCAAGTAGCAGCAGGATTTTGAGGATGGATGCAGGACTGGCCTTGCCCCCCTCCATTTTGTAAAATTTCCTCCCTCTTTTTTTTTTTTTTTTTTTTCCCTCTCTTAATTTAAATCCCCTTTGAGTATAAAAAGAAACTGTAGTTTAGTAAAAAGCTCGAGCAACCATGTGTCCAAACTTCAGGAGGGTGAATTAATAGATGGAAGATGGTCGTGCGGAATTCGAGACAGTGAGAGCTCCAGTTCTGAAGTTAAGCGAAGGAACGAACTCCTTTGCCAAAACACCAGTATATAGGCCCACGAACCACAAGTAGGACTAAAATCCCCAAGATAATGCTACGAGCTGTAATGCTTTAGTGGATGAGGCCAAAATGAGCTTCTCCATGAACATATAAATATGAAGATCCACTGCTTTTTGACTTTCTGGTTTCTAGAGCATGATAGAGATACCATGCGTTTGGATTTCGTTGTCCCCGAAGGTTCTGAGTCATGTGCATAAACCGTCCACAGCTGAAATTGAAAATACTAAATCATGGACGTAATGGATGAAAGCTTGTGGACCAATTTAGAGTGCGTTAAAACCTTAAAATCCAGAAGAGTTTGCCCAGGAGTGCTTTAGTTTTTTTATGGTTGGATTTGAATCGTTTCAGTTGAATCTTTTCAGCAAGTCCTCTTTCTTTTTTCTCTCTTTTTTTTTTTTTGTGATGAGAGATGTCTATGTTATCAACATTTTTTTTTAATATAATATCAGTAATTCATTTATTTTTATTGATTGTTATCAAATATTTTTTTTTATAATTCACCTGTTATCATTACTTCTAGTTTAAATTAAATCATTAGACTACTTATTAAATCCAATTAGTAAATAACTCGTTTTTTTCACTTCTTTATAAATATAAGCATCTTTTTGTGTGTTAGAAATCTTGACTGCAGGTGGTGCTGCGTGGTCACCAAGTGCGCGCGCGCGTGTTTGTGTGTGTGCGTGCGCGTGTGGAGAGAGAGAGAGAGAGAGAGAGAGATGTTTGAAAAACAGAGCAGAGGTTGTGGGGTTGAGATTCTTGCCCAGCATTGTGTAGAGGCTGCTTCAGCTACCTTTTTGGGTTTGCTTGGGCAAAGTGTATTGGATTTAATGGATGCATGTAATGCTCCATTGGTTTTCGCTACACTTGATCAATCAAAATTCAAATATAATTGTGCGTTGATATTCCTAGATGTTGGGTTAATTAGGTACCCACCTTTTTCTTTTTTTTTTTTCTTTCCTGAAAAACCATTTTCTCCACGTTGTCCATCCTTTATTGTTACTATTACCACTTGGCCACCACCTAAATGGTTATCCTTTATTGTTACTAGATGCTTGTACCTGAAGATTGGTGGGATTAGTAAGTGATTTCCACTTCTTCAAGAACTAGAAATTTCGACTTTGCATCACAAATAATGCTGTTGAAATATATATATATATATATATATTCTGCCTCAAAAGGCATATGAAAACTGCTGAAACCATGGATTAATTCATGGAATATAACTTTGTGGTGTAATGGTAGGGTACCTTCCAAGCCAAAAATGAAAATTATACTGCTGGCCACTAACCTGTCCCAACACCTTCTTGATCTACCCCCAGAAAAGTATTCTCGGTTAATTGATGTGTCAACCCAAATTAAGAAAACTATTAGAAAGACAATATGCTTTCCTAGATCATGTATATATTTGTTCGGGACAATAAAAAAACAAAGGAAAACCCTGTGGACTGTGGAGTCTCCCAAATGGTCAAGGATTAATTGCTTGATCGATCGAGTATGAATTAGACGCCCATGCATTTTCGGAAGATTCGTCCAGGCGAAAATGTTTGCATCAAGAAAACTCAATGACAAAATACTAAGAAGATTCGTCCAGGCGAAAATGTTTGCATTAATACCTTCGTTGCCAAACCAAGAAAACTCAATGACAAAATACTTACAAGCTGGATGTGCCAGACGTGAGAGTGAACCATGAACCTACTAGTTTAAAATCAATTAAAGAATTTCAACTTCTCATCAAGCTTTGGAAGGAATCGGACAAGTGAAAAGCCAAAAAGCTTTTGTATTTTTAAATAATTTTTTCAGTTTAAAAGTTAGATAAAATCGCGAGGATAGTTTTATATTAATCTCATCTCGAATTAAAGTTTTTTAAATTTAAAATTTGTAAAAATTCTGGCTATTTTTGGTGATTAAATTTAAATTTGTGATTTCTTAGTTATTAAGATTCAAATATATAGCTTTATACTGTTGATGAAATTCTAAGTGAATTCTTTAATAAAAACTAATTCAACATATTAATTGGTCGTTTTTATGCATGTATTCGCTTAATAATCACATGCAAGTGCCAGCGGGAATGTCATGATAACACGAAAAAGGTTACCTTTGCATGTAAGCTAACCAAGCTCTCTACCTTGTCCATGCAGACACATAATTTGTTCAATGTTGGAATTAAGCTCATGTGAATGCAAAGAAAAATTTATAGGAAAAGAAGGGTGTATATATATAATAAAGGTGAAAATACCTACAAGACGCGTTAAAGAATATAAAAAAGCAAAAGAAATCAAAGATGAAAGATGAGCCCTGTAGCTCCTTCAAAAAATATACAATCATAAGTGAAATCCACTCTACTCCTAAACAAACAAGGATGAAAAGGAGCGCCACCACTGCTACTTCTTTGGTCCCACGCGTCTCCACTAACAAAAGAAGGTAGATCAGCAGCCCAAATTTCAATGAAATGGACACCGAAGGAAGTGGATTGAAGCATCGAGCAATTATTGATTTGGCTATAAATACCATGTACACTGCAAATTCCGGTGGTAATTCATTAATAAGTGAGAAAGAGTAGAACAATGGAAGGATTATGGCTCGTTGTTTTGGTGATTTTTGTAATGGCTTTGTCTGTGCAAAGCCAATTGAAAACAGGGTTTTATTCTACTTCATGTTCGAAAGCTGAGGCCACTGTTAGGTCCACTGTTGAATCTTACTTCAAAAAAGATCCCACCATTGCAGCTGGATTGCTCAGGCTTCATTTTCATGACTGCTTTGTCCAGGTTGCATGCCCCATATATATGTATATATCCACCTCCTTTAGCATGTTTGTATAATTGTCAATAATCTGCATGGACTAATAACATTAATGTTCTTTTACAGGGCTGCGATGGTTCAATATTGATTGCGGGGCCTTCTGCCGAGAGAAATGCCTTGCCGAATCTTGGATTAAGAGGTTTTGAAGTAATTGATGATGCTAAGTCACGGATTGAGGCCTTATGCCCTGGGGTGGTCTCATGTGCTGACATACTAGCTTTGGCTGCTCGTGATGCTGTGGACTTGGTAATTCAGATCCCTTCACCCTCAATTTCCAATACTTGAATGAAAGAGTTATATGAATTTGTATGCATGGTTTCCTTGAGGGTTGAGCTTATTGCAATATTTTCAGAGTGATGGTCCAAGTTGGTCAGTCCCAACGGGTAGAAGAGATGGCAGGGTCTCTTTATCATCCCAGGCCTCAAATTTACCTTCACCTCTAGACACCGTAGCTGCCCAGAAGCAAAAATTTTCTGATAAAGGCCTGGACGATCACGATCTCGTAACCCTCGTCGGTATAAATCTTTTCTTTCCCATTCTGAGTTAATTTGCAGTGCTAAGAGGTTGAGACTAAGCCAATCTCTTCGATCTGTTTCAAGACTTGCTACATATTCATGCCGAGGCCAGAGAACTCATGAAAATCTTAGTTCTTGTAACCAATTATGAGATTTAAAGAAAAAACGTATCTTCTTAACCATCAGGCTGGACTTCGGTTTCAAGAAATAATTTTACTGTCGCATGTTTTGTAGCATATTGTGATGGAGCTTGTTTATGTTTCAGGGGCACATACTATTGGCCAAACACATTGTCAATTCATTCGATATCGCCTATACAACTTCACAACAACAGGCAACGCAGACCCGACAATAAACCAATCATTCCTACCACAACTTCAAGCTCTATGTCCCAAAAATGGTGATGGCACAAAACCAGTTCCATTGGACAAAGATAGCCAGACAGATTTTGATGCAAGCTTCTTCAAGAACGTACGTGATGGCAATGGAGTTTTGGAGTCGGACCAGAGACTTTGGGATGACGCTGCAACACGTGATGTTGTGAAAAAATATGCTGGCACCATAAGAGGATTACTGGGACTTAGGTTTGATATTGAGTTTATGCAAGCTATGGTTAAAATGAGTAGCATTGAAGTGAAAACTGGGACTGATGGAGAGATAAGAAAAGTCTGTTCAAAGTTCAATTGATCAATCAAAGGAGTGCTGTGACCT